CGTTAAGTTTCATCCGTTCAACCGTTTCAAGTAAAGGACTAAAAAACTTACACACAATGTTGGTGTGCTTTAATCATTAATTAATGAATATAGTTCAAAATGTGGTGGTAAATATTTCTTGTCACCTATGATTATATATCGAAAACCTTCACCGGATCACACAGTTGTTTATTTGATCTAGATAGTATTAGAAGTAAGCATTACCTACCCAACATGATCCTACAAATTTTGAATTAGGGAGTCAGTCAGTCAGTACCCAAAATGGCTCGTTGAGCTATAAATAAGATTTTTTAAGTAGTACGTTAATCTCAAGCCCTTTATTAAAATGAGTTTTATTGCATATTCAAAATATGATTTGAAATACTTCGATGTTGTTATATTTATATTATGACTAGCAGAACCCGCGGTTTCGCTCGCGCTAAAACTGTAAAAAAATCTCTGAAAAGTTAGTTTCATACAAACTTTCATGCCCAATTTTACCGTCTTACAGGATAAATTTCGAGAAATGCTACAACACGTATTTATTTAATTTTATTAAAAACCATTAATACCAAGTTTCAAGTAATTCTGATCATAAATATTTTTTTGATTTGTTTGTTTGTTATAACGTGTCTTCCCGTGGAAATTAGATAATCTCCCGCAGTTAAAAGTAGCCTATGTCACTCTCCAGCCCTCCAACTATCTCCACACAAAAAATCACGCCAATCCGTCACTCCGTTTCGACGTGAAAGAAGGACAAACAAACAAACAAACAAACAAACAAACAAACAAACAAACAAACAAACAAACACACTTTCACATTTATAATATTAGTATGGATTATGTTTAAAAATAGGATTTATATTATTCTATCTCCATTTCGAATAATATAGTGTGAATGCTTTTACGACCTTCTATTTAATTTTATATAGTGAGACTACGTTGCTAGGTTAATTAAGGTTTCATGACCTAAACATAATTTCAATGAGTTTATTACATGCTTATAGAGTTAATTAAATGTTTATATGTACATATATATGTATATGTATAATGTCTATATTTTAACACTGATTCACATCGAGATAATCTTAAAGGTATGCGTTATAGATGAGTATGAAATTAATAATAATTTTCCTACTAGAAGGGAGTAGCTATTTTTGTAGAAAAAGAGTTTAGAGACAGAGTTATAAGTTACAAACATATGTAATATCCGTATTAATATTATAAATATGAAAGCTTGTGAGTATGTATGAATGTTTGTTACAATTTACGCCAGAACTACTGGAATAACACATAGGCTACTTTTTATCCCGGAAAAATGTACGGTTCCCGTGGGATAGGTTTGTGATTGAATTGCTAGAGGCGAACTCGAGCGAAGCAACGGTGAGCCGCTAGTATATACGTAGTATCATATTTTAATCATTATATTAATAAAATCTTTAATCTATAAGTATAGGTCCTTATAAAAGAACTTCCGAGTACATCTGGCTACTATTGTTGATGCAAAAGTTTGTATGTGTGTATGCTTGTTACTATTTCACGAAACAGTTAGACGGATTTGGATAAAATTTGGTACAGTGATAGACTATGTCATGGAGGTACACAAATTCTGTTAGGGAATTAAGGACGCAGCTGAGCGAAGTGAGTCTAATTCGGTAGTCTTAAAATAAACAGCATCATTCCCCACGACACTGACAAAGCGACTTTAGCCAATTGAAAAAGGGACGAATGAGAGCGCATTAAGACAAACTGCGTCTATTAATACCAAATCTCCTTACAATACTAATTAATATAAAAATAATCAATTTTATTAAATGAGCATTGAGCAATTCTTATATATATATATATATATATATATATATATATATATATATATATATATATATATATATATATATATTGTTAAGTATCTAAACGCATTACTATTTGACAGACAGCTGTGAAGCTGTCATTTGGTTGACACTTTGTTCGTTTTTGCTCTCTCTCTGCTCTCGACTGTCTCCTAGTATAATTATAATTAAATCTTTGATCATCCTAAAAATTAGCTCAAAAGTATTTTATTTACTCTTAACCCTTCATATTATTTTATATATATATATATATATATATATATATATATATTGTATATACATACACACATACATACATACAAATTTTGCTCGTTTAAAAATATAAGATATAAACTATCAATACTTAGATAAGATGATACAAAACAATTTCTGAAAATTTGGTACAAATTTGACAAAAGTTTCACTCTTCGTCCATGTAATATTCGCTTTTAAACACATTAAATATAATGTTGGAACTGTTTCTTAAGCGATTCCATTAAAGTAACGTTGCAGAAATGCATAATGTATTCGAATTCTAAGATGCGACAAACTCGTCTCGTCGCTCGAGGCAATTCATGCAACACCTGTGACTATATTATATCCCATTTTGTTATATTTTATACGAAATTTACTGATTTTCAGATTGTCGTATGGTTTATCTGCTACCTACAAGTAACATTAATATTTAACATTAAGTTATTTTTGAAACTAATCTGTACCATAAATATGTGATGTTCTCCTGACCGATTCCGGCCACGGCGGCCAATCTCATTGAGACTAGCCAACTGCGCAGGAGATATTATAGTGCACAAGTGTCCGCACAGACACAAGTGCACTCTCTATTCCTGTCACTCTCATACTCCGGTGGGACGATCACTCAACACGACCAGTGAGAGTTAAGGCGCAGGACCGACGGCTTCACGTGCTCTCCGAGGCACGGGGGTGAAACAGCGCCAACTTCAAACTCCGGGCTGTTACTGAGGCTTACTATACAGAAAGACTCAATAACTCAACTCGGCCCGACCTGGGACTCAAACCCAGGGCCTCCAGGTGTGCAGCCGTACATGCTAGCCACTACACCATCGAGGCAGTTACCATAAATATATTAACATTACATTTCAATAAATAAATTACTAATAATAAACCAGAAACAAACTGATGATATTTACCGAACGATTTCATTTATTCATGATGCAATTGTAACCAGTAATTTTGGTGCGACATCTAATGATATGTGAACTATCTGCATAATTCGAAAAAATAATCAATCAAATATCCGTATATAATATTTTTTTATGTATTTTAATTAATAAATAAAAACTATCTTTTCGGATTATTTCGCGGATTTATCTTGATTTTTGGTTCCCGACGTTTCGAATGCTTTACAGCATCCATGGTCACGGGAGAGACTGAGGTGTTACATGTCTTAAAGATATAGTTGTTACAGACAGCCTACCCACAATTAACAAAAAATAAATTTATAATATAAAAAACAAAAAAACAATTTTGTTAATTGTGGGTAGGCTGTCTGTAACAACTATACATTCAAGACATGTAACACCTCAGTCTCTCCCGTGACCATGGATGCTGTAAAGCATTCGAAACGTCGGGAACCAAAAATCAAAATAAATCCGCGAAATAATCCGAAAAGATAGTTTTATTTAATAATGTCAAACATTCGCGTAAATCTAAGAAAGTATTATTTTAATTAAATTGTATAAAAATATAATTTTATTCCATCCTAAAACTATACTTTATTACTATACCGCATGCTCTATATTTTTCACAATACATATGTATATGTACTTAGTCTGAAGGTAAGAGTAGATAGTGTTATTTAGTTGAAAACTGTCACACCTCTCTCAATACACAGCTTACGTCAGTAGTAAGCGTTTGAAAGACTCAAGTTAAAGAAGTTTAAGGAATTTCCATAATGTCAGTATTTTAGAAAGCATTAATAATATTATAGGTATTTTGGGGTAATTTTAAAGTAGCGTAAAGTGTTTGCGAATTGGATTGCTGATATGAAAAGATTCTGAGGTAGATTCTTGTTGTAAGAAAAAGAATGGTCAATTAATTAAATAGCCTATGAAACAGTTATAACCTAATAATTCCGTAAAAGGAAGTTCGAATCACTGTTTCCTGTCTGCTCACCTTCTGTTGAATAAAGGCAAATCGTGTTAATTATTCAATCAAAAGCAAATTTTCATACTTTTCCTTCTTCTCAAATTCTTCTCACAACACTTTTTTTTGTTTTCAGGAATATTAAATTGACTTAAGTAAAAAGTTCAAAAAGTCCAAAATCAAAAAAGTTAAAATCCATGAAGTTAGGGCAATTTTTAAGCCTATTAACTCATGCTATTTTTTAGAAAGCGATGAACTACTGGAACTAATCAAGTTTATTAATATGAAAATTTGCCAAGATTAAATTTTTGGGGTAGTTTTGCAAACATGTACAGCATATTTTATTCAAAAAAAAATGGGCGAAAGGATGCTAGATTGTTTTGGTTTAGATTTGATAAGCTCCTATTTCCTAGGCTTCCTTTTTTATTTTGTTCAATGTATGTACTATATAAAATGATAATATGTATCGTATTTGTTAAAAAATGTTAATGATTATCGCTTGTGTGATCCCACGCTTGATCAGTCTCAACATTTGTTCATTTAGTTTAAAGGCAAAATCAGTAAATGTTAAAATCAATTATTTTATTATTAATAATGTCTACCTGACCAATTTTGCCCACGGCAGCGAATATCACTGAGACTAGACCACTACGCAGGAGATAATATAGTGCACAATATTCTCGGTAGCTGCCCGGAGTTATAAAACGGCAGTGTTATACACCCGTGCCTTGGAGAGCAGGTTTGTGCCTCCCACCGATCATGTTTAACTGTCGTCAATCGAAATTCTAGATTAAAAGAAATATATCTTACTTGTTTCCGCGCACACATTTGTGGCTAATCTCAATGAAATTGACCACCCTGGTCGAGGAATATTATTATTGTCATTATTAACTCAAACTTATTCCGGTAAATAGCATACGAGAAGTCACTGTACACTCTTTTGTCTCTCGAAAAAATAGGATGTACAAAAAAACTGCCGATCGAAAGATATTTATGGGCATAAAAGAAAAGGTAAAAGATGAATAGAATAGCATACGGTTCAAGACATTAGTAGAGGCAACATTTTACCTCGCGTCAGAGGGTTTGTAAGTGACGTCATACTTTTCGACCAGATCTGCTGTCGTCGACCACGACACACGGACTGTGGTCGGGTTGAGGAAAGTCACGGTTATATTCTCTGGCACGCCTGGTCCCATTGAGCCTGAAACAAAATAGGATATGAATGTACCATAGAAATAGCCATTATGCGGATGTTACGTATTGTTGTAACTGATTTTCAGGTTTAAGGTTTTGATGTCAGTGTCCCTTTTTACCCGCGAACGCCACAGAGACGGTATATGTGTTTGGGGTAAGAGGTGTTTGTGTGTGTGTCTATTACCATTTTCTCGGAAACGGCTAGAGCGATTTTAAAATGGTTTTTCGCTTTGTATAAGTCTCTTTCCTGAGCATATTCTTAGCTAAGATTTATAATGTTACAGACCGCCAGGAGACTACAGTACACATGTTTCTCCAAAGCGGTTATTGTTTTTACTACTAAAGTAAAAATTAGGCAGTTTAATATTGTATTTCAATATGTACATATAGCATTTACTATTACGTAAATGTATAGTATAAAAATGTATAGCATGCACGACGGCTGAATGGACGGCGGAATATCGTGGGTTTTTGATTTTTTTATAGTTTTTTCATGTTACAATTTTCCGTCGTAGGTTTTTTAAATTTTTACTTTATATTTTTAGCTAAAAAGTAAATATTTAAATCTACAGCAACTACATATGACCTTTGTTCGATGTATAGCTTGTATAATAAATAATATTTACATATTTAAAAAGATATTTTAATTCAGCTACGTATGGTTATAAACAAATCCACAACTACTTTGTAATTTGCTCGCGTGCTTAGGCTACAAAAAATAAAATATCTTAAATTTTTATTGATATCTTTCTTTCTGTTTGTGGCTGACTTACATTCATTATAAAGCATTAAATAAATTCACACACCTTACACACACCCCACATAATAGAAAAAAATAAATAAATAAAATACGCATAGACCTTGAGCCTTGAACTTGAGCCTCGCGGACAGCTGATCGAGGTGACATAATGTCATCTTTCCTCCCGCGCACCGCACCTCGGTGTTTACCATTAGCGGCGCCCGCGCATTAGCATCTACGATCTTTTCAAGTTAATTAAAAGTTAAAAAGTTTCAACTCCTTACTCCAGTCAGTCGCAATCCGCACGCTAGACGAGAGACACGTACCGCTCGCTTACTCGCCATTCCAAGCTTACGTACTCAATCATATAAGCTTCGTAATTTTATGTATTTTATTTCTACTATCTTTGTGCTTTCTATCGTGTAAACTGTATGAACTATCTTTCCGCTTTGCTCTTTCTCCTTCTATATTTTGTGGGTGTAAAATAGTGCATTAAAGGCTGTGAATTGTACATAGACTTTTATTAAGTTCTCGCCAACTCAACAACAACACACTACCAAACCCCCACAGTGGTGACCCCAATTGAACATTAAAATGAGCAGTGACGACGGTGCTACAGCAGAATCTGGACCCTCTGCGAAAAGTCCACGTGTTCGCCAACGTGTTAAGAAATGTGAGCGCGTTTCAACGGACCGAGATCTTTCGACGGAGTTATTTCGCGTCGGCGTGCGTATACCGCCATTTTGGATAGAAAAACCTAAGATTTGGTTTGCACAAATTGAAGCGCAATTTAACTTAGCACGGATAACAGATGACAACACTAAATTTTATTACGTTCTGGCGCATTTGGACGGGCAATATTCTGCAACGGTCGAGGATATAATTGAAAATCCACCCTCTACTGGCAAGTACGAAAAGCTTAAATCAGAGCTTATTAAACGTGTTTCTATATCGAGACAAAAGAAGGTGAAACAATTATTACAATCTGAGGAATTAGGAGATCGCAAACCTTCTCAATTTTTGCGACACTTACAACAATTAGCAGGACCGAATATGCCTGACGATTTTATTATGGATGTGTGGACTAGTCGTTTACCAAATAATTTACAGACTATTATCGCTTCTCAACCTAATATGGCTCTTAAAGATTTAGCCGAATTAGCGGACAGGGTACATGATATAGCACCTAGCCAGCCTCAATTGGCAGTAGCATCCATTTCAAGGTTAGAATCGGCGATGGATGTCATGGCGCGTCAAATAACGGCATTGACGAAGCAAGTGAGTGAACTGACTACCCAGAACTTCGATCGTGCGCGTCCACGGCATAGACAAAGGCCACGTCAGCGCAGTCATTCCAATTCTAGAAGATCACATTCTAACTTTAGGAAGTTTCCCATATGCTGGTATCACTACAAATTCGGCAATAAAGCGACTAGATGTACCTTACCATGTGATTATAAGTCGGGAAACGAGACGGGCAGTCGGTGATGGCGGCTGACGATTGCCCTCCGTCTTCTAATACTGGTCGCCTGTTTGTGACAGATCGCAGTTCGAAAGTGCAATTTTTAATCGATACAGGAAGTGATGTGAGTGTTTTTCCTCATGACGCGATTCAACAACGACGTGCAAAAACGGATTACCAGTTATGTGCAGCAAATGGTACTACGATCAACACGTATGGTTATGTACAACTTATTTTAAATTTAGGCTTACGTAGAGAATTTATGTGGCGTTTTGTAGTTGCAGATGTATCTAAAGCAATTATTGGCGTAGATTTTTTATCTTATTTTAATTTAGTTGTAGATATTCGCAATAAACGCTTAATAGATAATACAACTAATTTGTGTACTGTAGCCATGATTTCTAGTAGTGTAGATAGTCTAGTGTCTAGCGTTAAGATCATGACTTGTGATAATAAATATAATAATATACTTTCCGAATTTTCTGAGATCACTCGACCAGCTGGCCCAGTACGCATCATAAAACACAACATTACACACCACATTCGCACCACACCAGGCCCACCAGTAGCTTGTTCACCAAGACGTCTCGCTCCAGATAAGCTAAGGATAGCTAAGGCTGAGTTTGAAGCCATGTTGGCTAATGGCACAGCTCGACCTTCAGAAAGCTCCTGGTCCTCACCGCTTCATCTAGCCCCCAAAAAGGACAATAGCTGGCGTCCTTGTGGTGACTACAGGATGCTAAATGCTAGGACAATTCCTGACAAATATCCCATTAGGCATATCCAGGACTTTGCTCATAGCCTTTCTGGATGTAACATATTTTCTACGGTTGACTTAGTTAAAGCATATAACCAGTTACCAGTTTTTGAGCAGGATATTCCAAAAACTGCTATAACTACACCGTTCGGACTCTTCGAATTTCCATATATGACTTTTGGTCTACGGAACGCCGCTCAGACCTTCCAAAGGTTTATAGATGAAGTGACACGTGGTTTAGATTTTTGTTACCCGTATCTCGATGACATATTAGTGTTTTCGAAGGATGAGTCACAACATCAGGACCATCTTTGTCAACTCTTCACGAGGTTAAGAGACTATGGCATTTTAATAAATACCTCTAAGTGTCAATTTGGAGTAACAGAAGTCACTTTTCTAGGCTACCATATTTCACAGGCCGGCACTAAACCTTTGGAGAGTAAAGTAGAGGCAATAAAAAATTACCCCGTACCTAATACGGCTAAGCAGCTTAGGAGATTTTTGGGTATGGTTAATTTCTATAGGAGGTTTATACCTCAAGCAGCTCATATCCAAGCCCCTTTAAATGCCCTCTTAACTGGTTCCGTGAAAGCCTCTCAGACTGTAGACATATGCGGAGATTCGTTGAAAGCGTTCGAGAAATGTAAAGACAGTTTGTGCAAGGCAGCTATGTTAGCACACCCTGATCCTGACTCAAAACTAAGCCTTGTAACTGACGCTTCAGATTTCGCCATTGGTAGCGTTTTGCAGCAGTTAAAGGATGGTAACTGGCAACCTCTAGCTTACTTTTCTCGTAAGTTGAGTCCATCGCAAAGGAAATACTCGCCCTACGACAGAGAACTTCTAGCAATTTACGAGAGTATTAAATACTTTAGACATTGGCTAGAGACAACAAGCTTTACTATTTATACTGACCACAAACCCTTATGTTATGCATTTAGTGAGCGTAAGAATAATTGCTCGCCGCGTCAATATAGATATCTGGACTACATATCTCAATTTTCTACAGATATATGTCACATTTCTGGCAAGGACAACGTAGTCGCAGACACATTATCACGCATCGAAGAGTTACAGATCCCTGTAGATTTCAAAGTGTTAGCTCAGGCTCAAAACTCTGATAGCGAACTTAATAAATACCTAAAAGAAGATTCTTCTCTGCGTATTGAAAGGATGACAATCCCAGGTAGTCGCACTTATCTGTACTGCGATGTCAGTACAACGACACCTAGGCCTTTCATACCTCAATCATTACGCAAACAAGTTTTTAATAGCCTGCATTCATTAAGCCATCCCGGCGCTAATGCTAGTGCTAAACTCGTAGCACAACGCTACGTATGGCCGCAGATGAGAAAGCAGTGTCGCGAGTGGGCTAGGGCATGTTTGGATTGCCAACGCGCGAAGGTGAATCGACACGTGTCGTCTCCTCTGGGCACGCACGATATACCGAAGGCGCGTTTCAAATATGTGCATCTAGACCTCATCGGACCATTACCTCCATCTGCCGAGTATCGGTACTGCTTAACAGCCGTCGATCGTTTTACACGATGGGCCGAAGCTGTACCTCTTACCGATATTACGGCGGAGTCTGTAGCCAAAGCATTTTTATCCGAATGGGTTGCACGTTATGGTTGCCCTACAGACATTGTCACTGATCGTGGTAGGCAGTTTGAGTCTACGCTATTTCAGCAGCTTTCGAAGTCTATTGGCTTCCGACATCGTAAAACAACTGCTTACCATCCTCAGTGCAATGGTCTAGTCGAGCGATTCCATCGACAATTAAAAGCAGCAATAATGTGCCATGCTGATTGTAGATGGTCGGAATCGCTACCATTCATACTCCTTGGAATACGAAGTTCCTTCAAGGAGGACTTACAATGTTCCTCAGCAGAGCTCGTTTATGGAGAACCTTTACGTCTTCCAGGCGATTTCTTTGACCAGAGCATTGACAAGTGTACAACTGATATAACAGATTTTTCTTCCCGTATCAGATCATTTGCCAATGACTTAAAACCAGTCCCTGTTAGACATCACACACATAATAATAAA